GAAGGTCTTGTGGAGTAGTATTCCAGCCGGAGCTCTTCAGGGGAGAGGTCAGTGAAACCTGTAGTCAAAACATAGGAAACATGTTCAGGTCCAGTGTTTCAGTTTTTAAAAATATACATTTAAAATGAAAAATCTCATACACACCAGATACAAGTGTCTTGAAGCTATAATAACACGAGAATCCCCACTGGCCAGACTTCTCCCAAACATCCATGTCCATCTGAATAACTTCCCTGGATAACAAATATGACAATGATTTCCTTACGACTGATAAAAAAAATTTGTTTAAAAAAAAAAAAAAAAAAAAAAAAAAAGAACATTATGTTTTCTCATAAAGACTCACAGTTTTTTGTCGTCGTCTTCATCACCAACTGTTCCTCCCGCTGGCCTTCCTCCCCCCCTGCTTCCCCTGTCAAAGGTGCTGGGAGTATTAAGAGCTGAAAATCTGTTTTGACTTGAGAAACTAAAGTCGGAGCTCTTCACATTTTCTCTTCGCCCTCCACCACCACCACCTCCTCCTCCCCCTCCCCCACCTCCTCCATGACCCCAGTCGTCACTTCCGTGAGAAGAGAAGGATGAAGGCTGGATGTAGTTTCCTTTTTGCTGGGAAGGATTCACCCAGACTCTGTTTCCAAACCCTGGAATCAAAATACAAACCAGTGTCACAAAGCATTACAAATTGTGTAAAATACACTCCATAGTGCATCATCATTATTAACCAATTTTAATCCTTGTTTAAATCACTTTATTAGCTCTCTGGATAGCTTTATCCTCAACTTTCTGCTTTACTGAAAGCTGGTTGTCTGCTTTACATTCATTTATTTGATAACCACCATGAGGTCTCATGAAGTGGTAACATGAAATTAAATTGCTGTTGTTTAGCACACACCTGACCTTTGTAAAATATGTATTTGTTTCTAGTATAACTGCATTGGAAAAGAAACTACGACACAGTAACATTACCCATCCCTCCTATACTAAATGTGCATTCATGTGGCTTCAGAATAACAGGAAAACCTCTTCTGTGATGCCCATTCAAGTTTGGGAAAAATAAAAAAATAAAAAACCCATATGCCAAGTTGTTGACATACTTAAAACTTAACAGAGTTGATATTTTTGACTGGGCCCCGTGCTATGAAGTGAATTCAACATACTCAGGCTACCCTTCCATTTCTAAATAAGCTAGCATGACGGGGACACACCCCAGTAAGAAGTGAACCACAGTTGAAAATCCAGGGTTAACTCCATGGTTAAGTTACCTAGATAAGCACAATCTCAGCCCACTGTTCAAATACCCTACCCACGAAGCAAACTTAATTTGCCTACAATTCAGTGGAACAGTAAAGGAAGGCTAACAAAAGCTAGCTAAGAGAGCGAAAACATCACACGAAGAATGCTAAAGAAACTGAAAGTACGTTTAGATTAATGTTAACTTATCAAAGACGTTACTTCCACCTCCACTTCTGGGCTGTTGCTGACCAGAGGAGCGGTTGCTGTAGTTGTTGTTATATCCTCCACCACCTCCTCCTCCTCCTCCTCCTCCTCTGCTTCCTCCTCTTGGGTGCTCATTCCAACATTTTTCGCCGTAACGACAGCGGCCCTGAAGAAAGAAGTTGCACACAGGCATTTCCAAAAGGTGCTAAAGGCGTCTTTTAGAGCGCAAAAACACCACTTCCACTCGGCAATATTTTCTGGCCGTGTCTGAACTGCGGTCGCACGAGATTTACGTCACCACTCGTCCCACGTGGTCTTTTTTTTCGGGTGGGATTCTTTTTTTTTTTTTAATTTCTTTACCAGATAATTTCTCTATCAGATATTTTTTAATTTTAACAAAAGTTATATAATAATATAAAATAATAATATTAATAACAAGAAATTAAATAATCATATTAAATTAAAAACACATTTTATTTCATTTTTTGTAATTTAACCTTTACCAAAGGAAAAACAAATCTGTATTTTTATTTTATTTTATTTGACCAAAATGTAAGGAGAAGAAACTACAGATACCTGAAAATTGTAGTAGTATTAGTATTTGTACTTGGTAAAGTATGGTAAAGTCCTTGGTAAATGTTGTTAAATAATGTCACAACTACTAATAACTCACTCAGCTACTAACTTATAAGATCTTATTAAACATGACTCAGCTAAAATAATCACTTCTAAAATGTAAATTACAGCTACAGCATGATGTGTAATAATGTTAAAGTTAAAAGTGATTTAATGTTTGTAAGACCTTAGAATATTTAATCATTATTAAATATTTGCACAAACTCTGACTAAAATCCAAGATACACCTTTCATCACGCCTTTGTGGTTTGGAATCTCAGAGTTGGAGAAACTTTTTGAACCTATGAAAAAAAGCACACTGAAGATGTCAAACACTTTCTTACCTACAGTTTGTAGCTGTCAGTAAATAGTAACCTTAAAAGCTATGGTGGAACTATAAGAAAGTTACGGTGCTTACTGTAATGTAAAAAAAATAAGTAAACACTAATTTAAGATAATTAGAAATGGTGTAAATAATCTGTATCGATACCTCACTGATACACAGCGACTACACCACACTCGTTCTTAATTTCCAAAAATGTAAATGTAAAAGATGATCATTTATAGTTTTCAATACAGAAATCCTCCAATGCACTACTTTCTCTAAACGTGTACAATAAAATGTAGCTTGCATCACATTTATTTTTCTATGGAGGACACAATTCACAGAAAATATAAAAGTTTTATTTTTGCTTTCCGTGTTATCAAAATGATATACTTTGATACAGACAACTACATGCAAAACACTTTCTTTGAAAGCCCAGTAATATAGTCTTTCTTAACAATAAATTAGAAAGTAAGTACCAGTAAGGTCATGAGAAAAGGAATGTCATAAAAACATATAGTTCATATATGAAAACACACGATCTTCTTAATAAAAGCTCTACTTTTTAAAAATGTCAATACTGTATTTTATAGTGTAGCTTGTTTTAACAAAGTCTGGTCTTCAAGAGAATATTAAAAATAAAGCTTTCTTTAAGTAAAAAAAAAGTTTAATGCTATTTTGATTATTAAGATGAGCAGCAATACAATGCCGTACCATTTAAAATTAAAAATCCTTGCATGAATTGGCATGTAGCATGTTTTTCACCACATAGATATGGAAAGGCTAGTTATTTTACATACCATAGGCATGGAACAAACTTCAATTTTTTTATGTTAATTGAAAAGCTTAAAATTGCAGAAGTGTAGAGCTGCCAGCCAGGCAAAAGAAAAACAGAGCTATATTACGTTATGACATGAAAAATCTAAAAATATACTTTTGTTGTTTGTTACATATATTTTAATGTTAGTACAATATCCTTTTTTACGTTTGAATAACATAATATCACGTTATTACAATATACATAATTATCACGTTTGTACAATATAATATTTATATTGTACGAACGTAAACGGTTTTTTGTTATAACGTGATAATTGTGTTTATTGTAATAACATGATATTATGTTGTTCAAATGTGAAAGATATATTGTACAAACATATAAAGTATATTGTTAGATCAATAAACGTTTCACGTTATAATGTGATATAGCTCTATTTTTCTTTTCCCTGGGTGGCAGCTCAACGCTTCTGTATAAAATCATCAACATGTAAACATTTCTTGAGCTGAGAAATTTGAACTACCTTTAGCTTAATCGCCTTTCAAGTGATCCCTGGTTAGTAAATTTTCTAAACGACGAGATTTACTAAAAAATTTAAAAAAAACTGTGTACCAAAAACTAGCAGATAAGAACGTCTGGATTGAACTTGTAGGACAGATTACTGTAAGGCAGTTGTCTCGAACTCAAGTCCTCCAGGGCCGCTGTCCTGAAATGTTTCCATGTGTCCCTGTTGCAACACACATGAATACATCATTAGCAAGACTCTATAGAAACAATTCAGCCATGTGATTCATGTTACAGTAGCTCATGAGTGAATGAACCTGGTGCAATAAAAGTACTTTTAGAAGTACATTTTTCCAAACACTTATACTTGAGTAGGGTTATGGGTTGCCACTTCAGCATGCAATCAAGTTCTATACTCTTGCTAATGACCTACTAATTTTATTCGGGTGTGTTGCAACAGGGACACATGTAAAAGTTTCAGGACACCAGCCCTCAAGGACTGGAGTTCGAGACCCCTGCTAAGGTGTCTAATCAAACTCTGTGAAAAGTAAGAAAATGAAACAATATATCATATCAGGGCTTCCCCACAATATATCAAATCCTCCTTCAATTAATCACTATCTATCAATATATATTTCTTTTTTTCAAAATACATGTTATACAATGTTTGTTGCCGGAAAAGGGTGGAGTGCCCACTCCGGGTCGGGGATGAGTTCCTGCCCAAGTGGAGGAGTTCAAGTATCTCGGGGTCTTGTTCGCGAGTGATGGGAGAAGGGAGCTGGAGATCGACAGACGGATTGGGGCTGCGGCTGCAGTAATGCGGACGCTGCACCGGTCAGTCGTGGTGAAGAGGGAGCTGAGTGTAAAAGCGAAGCTCTCAATTTACCGGTCGATCTACGTCCCTACCCTCACCTATGGCACGAGCTGTGGGTAGTGACCGAAAGAACGAGATCGCGGATACAAGCGGCGGAAATGAGCTTCCTCCGAAGGGTGGCTGGCCTCTCCCTTAGAGATAGGGTGAGAAGTTCGGCCATCCGGGAGGGGCTTAGAGTAGAGCAGCTGCTGCTCCACATCGAAAGGAGCCAGCTGAGGTGGTTCGGGCATCTGGCAAGGATGCCCCCTGGGCGCCTCCTGGGCGAGGTGTTCCAGGCATGTCCCACCGGGAGGAGGCCCGGGGCAGACCCAGGACACGCTGGAGAGATTATATCTCTCGGCTGGCCTGGGAACGCCTTGGTATTCCCCCGGACAAGCTGGAGGAGGTGGCTGGGGAGAGGGAGGTCTGGACCTCTTTGCTTAGGCTGCTACCCCGCGACCCGACCTCGGATAAGTGGATGAAGATGGATGGATGGATGGACAATGTTTGTTTTAGATAATAAAAACATATTTATGAAAAAAAAAATTTCCCCTGCTCTGTAATAAATCTAAAGCAATGTTTTAAAAGTAATAATGATAATAATATGAAAAAGTCTTGTAACAAACGATAGCAAGCTTACATGTAATAAGATTTTAAAATAAAAAAAGAAATGGTGCAAATACAATCAATAAAAAAGGAGAGGGAGTGCACACTCAGGCACTACAACTATTAAAGTGCATTGCAGAGCAAACACAATCCATGGATGCTGAGGAAGAGGACCACTGGTAGGACTCCTGCATTATCTCTGGTTTCCATCCACAGGAGGTCAGCGTCTCTTCTTAGCATCACACTGGCAGAGGAAAGTAACTGCTCTGCCAGCTGAAAGGCCTGGTTATCCTGCAGCAGGGCAGGAAGAGACTGAATGTTGAGAACATCGCTGCTCTTTAGCTTGCACACCTGGGGAGATAGGTAGGTGGATCAGTGGACAAGTTTTTTGTTGCAAAATGTTGGTTTACAGATTCGAATTCTACTTTCCTCAAAGAACTAAAATAAAGAAAGATGAAATGGTTTAATAAATACTATAAATTTATGTCATAACATTAGATATAGAGCTAAAACCTCATAATTGGTTGTAGTTAGCTTAGCATAGCTAGCCTGGTTAAAGCAGCCACCAGAAAGTCACAAGGAATTTTGGGGGGTAAAAAATACATAAAGTAGAAATATTATTATTAATTGAACTTTAGAAGGTCAGATAGGTGTGTATTTTGACACCTCTGGAACAGAGATAGGCTAGCTAGTTCCCCGTTTATACTAAGCTAAACAGGTGCTTGTCATGTTTAGAGATGTAAAATTTATTTTTAATACATAGTTTTCTTTTGTGTGTGAGTGTGTTCTACGTAAATATTGAATTATTGAAATAACTCAACCACCAATGTACTAATCATGGTACCAATCATTACCAACAATGTGTACTAAACTGAAACAAGTTAGCTAACCAGCATGTTGAAAGCCTGCAGAAAGTCAGGAGCGCTCTTGCTCAGAAGTTCCAGAGTTTCTTTGGGCAACTCTATAAAAACATTAAACAGAACACATGATGAGGTTAAACCCACTAAAAAATAAAAATAAAAAAATCTGCAGCACTGCTTTGTATGCTGAGCTTTTTTTTGTCTGTAACTTCCTCTTACCTTCCATGGCACTGACCAACAGGTGCGCTGCATTTAGGGTGCTTTCAGTGGGACTCTCTGCACTGGGCTGCTCTTCTTTTGGGGTCCCATTGTGTATTTCATTGCTACACAAATCTTCAAGCTGACATAGAAAAAGGGCTTCAGATTAGAAGGAAAAATAAACATTTGGGGATGCTGTGGTTACACATTTATTCACACAACCGCAAGACAGACTATTTTAGCCGACTGGCTAGTGGTCACCACGAAGATAAGATAAGATAAGATAAGATAAGATAAGATAAGATAACCTTTATTAGTCCCACACGTGGGAAATTTGTTTTGGTCTACAGGGCATTACCAGTTTCACTCACCACAAGCTGCAGATATGACAGAGCAGCACTGTCATTCAGAGTTTCTTGGAGCTTCTTGAATAAAGCCCATCGGGTCGGCTGGGGGAGCTTTGCCAGAGGAGAAAGGACTTTTTCCTGCGATTCTGCAACAAACCAGAAGATACTGTTTGTTTATTATCGATTATTATAACCATGTGACTGCTGTTCTTTCATATTGTCATAATCATTTTTTTAGGTATTACAGCTAGTTTTAGTGGCAGTGTTTACTACTGAGGAAAGTCAGCTCAGCTATAATGTTTGAGAATAAACCACAAAATGCAACGGCATAGGCAACGTTTCAGTGAGACGGATAAAATAACAGTTGTATTTGGGACAAAAAGGAACCTTCCTCGGTTTGCCATAAGTCTACTGTGTTTCATTTGTTATATTTTTTTCCATCAACAAGTAATTGTGTGAATGTATGAATGAAGGGACAAACCATTATGAAGTGCAATAAGGGGGGGTTTCTGTGGAACCTTCTGCTCGTTGCACTTTCCATCCACTGTGTCGAAGCAATCATCAGAAGGCCAGGACCTCGAGATGGAGTCTGACTCAAAGCCTCCAATTGCACCAGGTTGTAGACATATGTCTGAAAAATACAGAAAACATCATAAACACATGGGCAAACACATATCACACACAAATGTTATCTGATTATTGAGTGTGTAAACAGAAGAACTTACTGTTGCTATTCTATCCTCTAACCATGTTTGGCTATCTATCACTAACACTTCTATTCCCAACATTTTATTTTCCCTTTCAAAGCATCTAAGTCAAGAAGAATAACTGCTCTTTATAGTGCGGCTGCCATGTATGGGTGTAATATAGTGTGTCCTATCTGATACACACACACACACACACACACACACACATAGCAGCAGCAAAATGGCTGGACAGGAGATGGTAAACTGAGATAAAACTAGAAAAATTTGCATTTCCTGCGAAAATGCTGTGTGGATGCCTTAACGCTGAAGTTGCCTGCTGAAAAAGTTGAAAACTTGCAAAAAGTTATGTGGTAGTGAAGAAACTGAAAATCCTGCTGAAAACAGGTGAAGAAGCAGAAATGTTTTGCTGAAAAGTGGTGAAAAGCCAAAAATTCTACTGAAAGGGGTAAAGACGGAGAAATTTTTGCTGGCCCTCCTGGTCTCAAGGCGGCTACTCATCTCACTGAGCCAAACTAATTCTCACAAAGAAGAGGTGGAGAGCCTGACAAATCTGCTGAAATGAGCAGGAGCTGCTGAGAATTGTGCTGATAAGAGGTGAAAAGGCTGAAAACTTTGCAGAAGAGGTGAATAAGCAGAATTTGGGCTGAAATGAGGTGAATGAGCAGAATTTCTGCTGAAAAAAGTTTTTTTCTGAAAACAGCAGAAAAAACTGAAAAATTTGCTGAAAAGGGGTGAAAAAGCTGAAATTTGTGTTGAAAAGAGTTAAAAAAGTTTAACTGTTAACTTAAAGAAATGTTGCCATAAGCGGGATTTGAACCCGGGCCTCCCAGTCTGAGAACGACATCTCATCTCACTGAGCTAAAACACAGGTCAACCTGGCGAGGAAAATCAGTGACCCCACTGACAATGTGGAAGAAACTCTCACTCACACACACTCACAGTATTGTCCGTCTTTTTTAACCTCCAGTTCCAGGATGCTGTACGCGATGACTGTACCAGAGGGGATCTCCACAGAAACATCGCTGTCTATCTCAATGCTGTTGCTGTCCTTCACACACACCTGGGAGCACACATATACAGGGAGTGCAGAATTATTAGGCAAGTTGTATTTTTGAGGAATAATGTTATTATTGAACAACAACCATGTTCTCAATGAACCCAAAAAACTCATTAATATCAAAGCTGAATGTTTTTGGAAGTAGTTTTTAGTTTGTTTTTAGTTTTAGCTATTTTAGGGGGATATCTGTGTGTGCAGGTGACTATTACTGTGCATAATTATTAGGCAACTTAACAAAAAACAAATATATACCCATCCATCCATCCATTCGCTTCCGCTTATCCTTTTCAGGGTCGCGGGGGGCGCTGGAGCCTATCCCAGCTGTCATAGGGCGAAAGGCGGGGTACACCCTGGACAGGTCGCCAGTCTGTTGCAGGGCTCAAATATATACCCATTTCAATTATTTATTTTTACCAGTGAAACCAATATAACATCTCCACATTCACAAATATACATTTCTTTTTCTTTTTTTTTTAAAGAATCACGGTGTTGCAATGGCCCAGTCAAAGTCCGGACCTTAACCGGATTGAAATGCTGTGGTGGGACTTCAAAAGAGCTGTGCAAAATGAAATGAAGCAATGTTGTAGGCCAGAATTCCTTCACAGAAACATGAGCAACTGGTAACGTGTCTCACGGTGTTGTGGAGACAACTTGATAACTTGTGATATACAAGCTATTAAATCATGCAAAATATGCAGTTTTTTACAGACAAGAAGGAGAACAAGAAAAACAATGGTCTACTATCTGTAAGAGGTTATATAATTCCTTTAAATATTTAATATTTTAGACATAAATTTCCAAAAGCAATTATTATTTTACAATAAGAGGAAGAAGTGCAGCAATGCAAGGCAGTGATACTGACTAAACTCCAGTTGCTTCTCCTGAACACAGATTACGAGATATTTGTCGAGTTATGACATTAATGTTTGCACAGCATTTACCACTCAGAGGGCAATATACATTTCTGACATTCAAAAACAAAACAAAAACAAATCAGCGACCAATATAGCCACCTTCCTTTGCAAGGACACTCAAAAGCCTGCCATCCATGGATTCTGTCAGTGTTTTGATCTGTTCACCATCAACATTGCGTGCAGCAGCAACCACAGCCTCCCAGACACTGTTCAGAGAGGTGTACTGTTTTCCCTCCTTGTAAATCTCACATTTGATGATGGACCACAGGTTCTCAATGGGGTTCAGATCAGGTGAACAAGGAGGCCATGTCATTAGTTTTTCTTCTTTTATACCCTTTCTTGCCAGCCACGCTGTGGAGTACTTGGACGCGTGTGATGGAGCATTGTCCTGCATGAAAATCATGTTTTTCTTGAAGGATGCAGACTTCTTCCTGTACCACTGCTTGAAGAAGGAGTCTTCCAGAAACTGGCAGTAGGACTGGGAGTTGAGCTTGACTCCATCCTCAACCCGAGAAGGCCCACAAGCTCATCTTTGATGATACCAGCCCAAACCAGTACTCCACCTCCACCTTGCTGGCGTCTGAGTCGGACTGGAGCTCTCTGCCCTTTACCAATCCAGCCACGGGCCCATCCATCTGGCCCATCAAGACTCACTCTCATTTCATCAGTCCATAAAACCTTAGAAAAATCAGTCTTGAGATATTTCTTGGCCCAGTCTTGACGTTTCAGCTTGTGTGTCTTGTTCAGTGGTGGTCGTCTGTCAGCCTTTCTTACCTTGGCCATGTCTCTGAGTATTGCACACCTTGTGCTTTTGGGCACTCCAGTGATGTTGCAGCTCTGAAATATGGCCAAACTGGTGGCAAGTGGCATCTTGGCAGCTTGACTTTTCTCAGTTCATGGGCAGTTATTTTGCGCCTTGGATTTTCCACACGCTTCTTGCGACCCTGTTGACTATTTTGAATGAAACGCTTGATTGTTCGATGATCACGCTTCAGAAGCTTTGCAATTTTGAGACTGCTGCATCCCTCTGCAAGATATCTCACTATTTTTGACTTTTCTGAGCCTGTCAAGTCCTTCTTTTGACCCATTTTGCCAAAGGAAAGGACGTTGCCTAATAATTATGCACACCTGATATAGGGTGTTGATGTCATTAGACCACACCCCTTCTCATTACAGAGATGCACATCACCTAATATGCTTAATTGGTAGTAGGCTTTCGAGCCTATACAGCTTGGAGTAAGACAACATGCATGAAGAGGATGATGTGGACAAAATACTCATTTGCCTAATAATTCTGCACTCCCTGTACACACACATATAGGATTGATTAGAGGAAGGCTGACTGATTTCTTTTTTTCTTATATTTTGGGGGGTGCATAAACAGAATTTCACAAATTTATGGCGATCAAACTACAAAATAAGACATATGCTGATAATAATTTACCTGATAGAATTATTGAAAACTCTCATGGCATCATGACTAAAAAAGCTTTTAAGAGGCCTACCTTAACCGAACTCCCCAGCATGCCAACCAGCCCGAGCACCCCTTGAAAGGTGCACTCTTCCACTTTTGTCTGGGTGATGGAACAGGGGCTGGTGGTGAAGATCCTCTCCTTCACTAGCCCCACCACCTCAGCCCGCTTCTCTATCTGCCTCACCAGCACGTGTTGCATGTCCACCGACCTGATATGAAGAGAAGCTGGTGTTAATGGTTTGAGACAGACTGATTGACAAATGGAAAATGACACCACGCCGCTGTGGTCTGAGGTGTTTAGCATGTGATGCCTGAAGTCCACATTTATAAGGAGTTCATTACATCACCATTGATGACCTCATCTCCTTAATCTTTGATTACAACCTGTATATGTGAAAGCAGTTTTTAAAAATAAAATAAAAAGCTTTTAAAATATTACATCATACCTGTTGTCCGAGTCAAGTAATAGCTTCTTCACATTCACCTCCTCTTTCTTCAGCTGGCCAAAACATGACTGGAGCTTGGTAGTGCCACGCCCCTCCAGTCTGATACTTGCAGAGCCGGCTTCGGGGCCCAGATCACTAGCAAGTTTAGCTCCATATGTCCCCTTGTAGGTCAAGAATTCTGACTCTGACACTCCTGCAAAAACACAAGGTGTTACCCCGATATCAGCTTTGTTGAAATGTGTCTGGGAACTCACATGCACGACATTTTTCCTGTAACAACTTAAGTTTGAATCTGCACACCTACCCGGGATGAGCTCCTTGTCACCCAGCAACAAGTCGCCGAGAGTGAAATCTGTTGGTTGGTACCTGGGTCTCTGCCAAAACCAGCGCTTGCGTTTGATCACGAGGGCCATGGGAACCAGTTTGTGAGAGTCATTTACTCGAGAGACGTGGATGAGAAGTCCTTCGGGGTCAATCTCACGGACGAAGTTGGCAGTGGCCTTGGAAAACATGACTCCAGAAGACGAGCACCACAGACAGCTGGAAGAGAAAGAAATTAAAGGTTTCAGCTTGGGCTTAATTTCTCTCCAACAGCAACCCTAATGTGTTTTATTTAAATATCTAAACAACTGTAGGTGATTTCCAGTTGGTATTCTCTCCAGCTCTCTACCCTTGATTGTTTATGAGTGACTGAGAGGCCTGTGTGTGTGTGTGTGTGTGGGGGGGTTAACCCCCAAATAGCAAGAAATCAGTGACTCATCGGACATAGAGGAAGTCCCCTGGATGTTAGGATACAACTTTAACAACAAAAACATGAGTGCACACAGACACCAAGGTCCACTAATACTGCAGTCTCAGTTTTCATTGTTTAAATATTCACAATATTTGGATGTACAATAAAGAGGGGAGGGGAGTTTGGAGGAGAAGGCTGCGCAGCATTAGATGGTAGAGGAATGTTACATAAAAGAAGATGATGGAGCTCAGGCTTTTGAAAACTATCCTCATGAATAAAATGTAAGAATGTTTAACTTCGCCGTTGAAGAGTAAGGCAAACTAACCATGACTTGACATAGATTCACTGTGTTGAGTCACTTGGGTTAAATTATTAAGCAGCTGCCGTAATGTCACCTGGGACTGTCCTTTAACCCCAAACTCGCACTGTAAAAGCTCACATTCTGAATATTTCATGTTTTTTTTGTTTAGTGTGTTCTGAACCAAGGAAACAAGGGGCATAAAAGGAATAACTGTCACATGCAGTAGATAGATAGATAGATAGATAGATAGATAGATAGATAGATAGATAGATAGATAGATAGATAGATAGATAGATAGATAGATAGATAGATAGATAGATAGATAGATAGATAGATAGATAGATAGATTTTCTATAGTAATGTAATGTGTCGATGAGCATAATCAGACGCTTTAGGTTGCTAAAGTTGGACTCTGACAGTCCTGTTTTCGGCTCAGGCTCCACGACCACCCCCATACACACGTGTGCCAGCCCATTTCCCGGCAGCCCACTTTTTCCAGTTCAAGCTTTCAAGCTACAGTAGCTGGGGCCGCGCACGAGCTGGCGTAATGAGTGAGGTCAATTGCGCACGAGCCTCAAGACGCATGACTTGGATGAATTTAAAGGGAGCCGGAGACTCAAAAATACTTTGACCGCAAAATAACAACACAGGTTGGGACAGTGAAACCATTCTTAGTCTCGTCATCGCACAGAAACACAGACTGACACGCAGTAGCCAATAAATAAAGTTTTTACCTTTCTCAGAGTTGACAGTCAGTAACGAAATGTGACCGATGATGACGTAAAAAATAAAATCCAAAAGTAGTCCTTTGGCTTTCTAAGTGAAAGTTCACACACAGCTATTTGAGCAAATGACGAAACTGTGAAGCAAATCCCCGAAAGACAGCACTGTCCGGGAGAAGCTACAGGCGAGTGCTGAGAGGACTGTATAGCCAACCCTAACCCTAACAGAAGACCGCCTCCTGGAGTTAATTCTGATCATATGAGCACACTGGGACGTGTATCTGTGTGTCCGTTTCGGGACATGAGCAGATTTGCCTGTTTGAACTTATTAATATTATTCATTCATATGTGATGAGTAATCTTTAAAACGGATGTCTTTTTCAGCAAAAGTTCATTCAGCAGCCAAACCACATCTTGCCTCACAACACAACCATTGAGGTGGTCAAGCAATTTTAAGTCTTTATTTATTTATTTAAAATGAGCTAGAACATTAAGCTCAAAAAGATAATTTAAAAAAATAATAAATGAACTCATATTTAAAGGATACGAGAAAGTTTCGTGTATTTAGTCTCTGTGTTTTCATTCAGGTCGTCTGTTTTCCTCCCTCTAAGTAACTTCAGGTTTAAAGTCTTTCATGAGTCTGTTCAGGTCATGTTCATTTTTCGTGTTTTCTCTTCATAGTTCCTCGCATGTACCTCTTCAGAATCATGTTCACTTTTGTCATAGTCATCACAGTTTATGTTTTCCCAGTTTAGGTTTTAGTTTTAGTTCTCACCCCCTGTTCACCTTGCTTTGTTTTTGTATTCATGTTTTTTCAGCCTAATAAACGGCTCGCCTTTTGTTTAAAGTCAGTTCTGTCTCCTTTTGGGTGTGCATTTGGGCCCTCCATCTCACTCCAACACAGTCTACTTCCGCGGACCGTGACATATGGTACTATAACAGGCTCTGTGATCAGGAGGTTTAAAGTTCATAAAAGTAATTTTCATGTTCATTAGTGAAAATGTAGATGCATGAAAGTAGTTTAACCTTTAGTGCCTCTACAATTTCTTAATAATATTGGGAGAAATTCTTTTTTTAAAAAGAAGAAGAAACCACAGGGAGGAAAAACAGCTTAGTAAAAAACAGGAGGTGAAACACAAATATACCTGTTCACAAAAAGATGATGGTAATTGTTTTTGATTCATATTTAAAAATCATCAATGGTGATTTTTTAAATTTTGGATATTTGTTTATAAACAGAACATTAAAAAAAGCATAAAGAAAAAGAAAATATGTTCTGGTGCTAAATTTATGATACTGAACTCATCTGTGAAATCTTCCTTTAATTGTAGATGTTATGAAATTTCATATTTTACAGTGGAAAGTTTTAAACAACAGACATCATTGTAATATTACATGCATTATTTTTGTATTGCAAATGTTCTGAAATTATCTATTTGATTATGGAGTGACGATGTAATTGGATTTTTGCCACCGACTTTGATTACAAATATTACTAAATGTAAGTTAGGTCCTGACTGTAAAAACCAACACATTTTCAAATGGCAAACGGCACAACAGTCTGGTCTGCCATTTTTACTATTTAAATTCTGTCTTTTACATCTTAAGTTTCAGTTCCTTTAAGAGTTCAGGGTTGGGTCATTCTGACCTCCAGCGATCCCTTTAGTTGGCACAGGAGTGTAACTAATAAAGGTCCTCTTTTCTCTAAGTCAGAATAACTGATGATTGAGGCAACAGGATGCCTGCTTGTCACCATGTCCCACTTCTTTTTTCACACATTTTCATTTTTCTTCCAAGTGTCCAAGAAAGTAAGATTAATAACCTGACTTTGCCTCCATTAACAGTACTCGCAGCACGCATTGACTATACTGCACAGAAATCAGAATATATTTGATCAATCTGAGACTATTAAAGCAAACTGCAATGACGCACACATGGACACACTATTTTTTATTAGGTACACCTTTCCAGTACCAGGTTGGACCTCATTTAGCCTTAAGAGCTGCTTTCATTCTCTGGTAGTACGGATTCAACAAGCTGCTGGAAACATTCCTCAGAGATTTTGGCCCATATTGACATAACAGCATCACACAGTTGCTGCACAGGTGCTCTGTTGGATTGGGATCTGATAACTGTGGAGGTCATTTGAGTAGAGTGAATTCATTCCAGTATTTAAGGAACCAGTTTGAGATCATTTGAGCTTTGTGACATACAACGTTATCCTGCTGAAAGCAGCTATGAGAAGAAGGGTATACTGGGGTCATAAAGGGATGGACATGGTCTACAACAAAACTCAAGTAGGCTGCGTTTAAACAATGCTCAGTTGGTACACTAAGACCAGCCTGAATCATTCATATTGGCAAGATTGAACCATGCTTTTCTGTTGTTTAAACAAAAGTCTGACCCTACCATCTGCATGCCAAACCAGGCTCATCAGACCAGGCAATGTTTTTCAAATCTTCTGTTTTTAATGAGCATTTGCGAATCGTAGCTTCGGTTTCCTGTTCTTAGTTGACATGAGTGTGACCCGGGGTGGTCTTCTGCTGACACTTTGTGCATTCAGAGATGCTCTTCTGCATGCCTTGGTTGTAACAACTGGTTATTTGAGGTACTGTTGCCTTTAATCTGCTGGAAGCAACCAGGCTCAGACCTTTCTGATGTCTGGCATCAAGAAGGCGTTTTCACCCAGAGCTGCTTCTAAGTGGATATTTGAATGGAAAGAGTTGCTGGCAAGTGATTGGCTGATTAGATATTTGCATAAAGGAGCAGTTGAACAGGTGAATCTTCTAATGTGGCTGAGAGTGTAGTCTTTAATTTGTTAGTGCGTTATCGCAGTGGGAATCTGCTACTGGTCCAGATTCCCACTGCAGTAATTAATATTATGCATCAATGTGTTCTTTGAGTATACCTTTATAATCTGAGCCAATACATCATTTATGTGATTTTTACCAAATAAATTTCTGTGCAGGCATTACTCACAGAAATGTTTCAGGTATTTAAGCACAAAAGGAGGTTTATGGTCCCGTGAAATAAAGATATTCTCTTTCTGATTGACAGGCATTCCTTTGAGAAGATCTTGAGAACTAAGAGCAAGTAAAAGTGGAGGTTTTTGGAAAACAGGAGGACATCTGGAGAATATTAAAGTTAGGAAAACTGATAGTAGGAACAAGAAGCATTTTGCAAATAAGAACTGACTATGTGGGAAAGTCATCAGATCTAATGTGAGCTGGGATTCAATGGAAGCTCGCACAACTCTGCAAATGACACGCAGGTCTACATAATGGATGGACAGTGTTTTAAGATAAGATAAGATAAGATAACCTTTATTAGTCCCACACGTGGGAAACTGTTTTGTCACAGCAGGAAGTGGACAGTGCAAAAGTTATATAGCAAAAATTAGAATACAATAAGAATATAATACTGTACCAAACTGTACAGAATAGAATAAAATAAAATACTATATACAGTAGAATAAATAGAATAAAATATACAACAGGATAAAAATAGAATACAAATGCTTTATACAACTGAGTAAAAATACAACTTTGTCAGAAAAAGAGTGTTGCACTTAGTGTTATTGCACATGTGTGGATGTGTGTGTTTGATCAGTTGGAGTCTTTGCTGTGGAGTCTGACAGCAGTGGGGAGGAAAGAGCTGCGAAATCTCTCCGTCCCACACCGTGGGTGCCGCAGCCTGCCACTGAAGGAGCTGCTCAGTGCTGTCACAGTCTCCTGCATGAGGTGGGAGATGTTGTCCATCAGGGATGACAGCTTAGCCGCCGTTCTCCTGTCACTCACCACCTCCACTGGGTCCAGAGGGCATCCTAGAACAGAGCTGGCCCTTCTAATCAGCCTGTTCAGTCTCTTCCTGTCCCCAGCAGAGCTGTTGCCACCCCAGCAGACCACACCGTAAAAGATAGCTGATGCCACCACAGAGTCATAGAAGGTCTTCAGGAGTGGGCCCTCTACTCCAAACGACCTGAGTCTCCGCAGCAGGTACAGCCTGCTCTGCCCTTTCCTGTAGAGGGCGTCTGAATTATGAGTCCAGTCCAGTTTGTTGTTCAGATGAACACCAAGGTACCTGTAGCTGTCCACAGCCTCAATGTCCATACCTTGGATGTTCAGTGGTTACCAGCTCCTTGGTTTTACTGGCGTTGATCTGGAGGTAGTTCAGCTGGCACCATTCCACAAAGTCTTGGGTCAGTCCTCTGTACTCCTTGTCGTCCCCATCAGTGATGAGGCCGACTAGTGCAAAGTCATCAGAGAACTTCTGCAGGAAGCACTGGGTGGAGTTGTGGGAGAAGTCTGCAGTGTAGATGGTGAAGAGGAACGGAGCCAGAACCGTTCCCTGTGGGGCCCCCGTACTGCAGATGACCCTGTCCGACACACAGCCCTGAGTTCTCACATACTGTGGTCGATCGGTGAGGTAGTCCAAAATCCAGGTAGGGAAGTGATGGTCCACTCCAGAGTTCTCCAGCTTGTCCTTCAGGACCGAGGGAAGAATGGTGTTGAAGGCACTGGAGAAATCAAAGAACATGATTCTCATAGTGCTCCCAGCGGTCTCCAGGTAAGTGAGGGAACGGTGTAGGTGGTAATTGACGGCATCATCCCCTCCAATGCCAGGCTGGTAGGCAAACTGAAGTGGGTCCAGTGATGAGCTCAGCAGGTGCTGAAGCTGAGCCAGGACCAGCCGCTCCAGGGTCTTCATCAGGTGGGATGTCAGAGCCACCGGCCTGTAGCTGTTGAGGTCCTTGGGGCGTGAAGTCTTTGGCACTGGTACAACACAGGAGGTTTTCCAGAGCTGTGGGACTCTTCCCAACCTCAGGCTCAGGTTGAAGAGGTGCTCCATCACCCCACACAGTTGGTCCGCGCAGGACCTGACGACCCTTGAGCTGATGCCATCTGGGCCCGCTGCCTTCTTGGCTTTAATCCTCCTCAGTTCCCTCCTAACCTGGGTGGTTGAGAGATACAGGCTGGAGCCTTGTGTGGAGTGTGTATTGGCTGCTGTTATTGGGGGTGGGGAGGAGTGAGCAGGGTGAGTAAAGGTGTGAAGTGTCTGAGGTGTCAGAGGTGGAACAGCAGCAGTGGGGGTGGGTGAGTCTGCAGCTGATGTTGAAGACTGCCTCATGGATGAATCAAATCTGTTGAAGAAATGATTCAGTTCATTTGCCCACCTCACATCCCTCCCAGGCAGAGAGTTCTGCTGTTTGTGGCCCGAGATGGTTCTGAGGCCTCTCCAGACTTCACCAACGTTGTTTTGCTGAAGCTGCTTCTCCATCTTCTGCCTGTAGCTGTCCTTCCCATTCCTTATCAGTCCCCTCAGCTGGAATAAAAAAAAATGGGAGTGCAGTACTTCCGAGCATGTCAAATTATTTTATCAAAGGACATAACTGAACCTTATTGTCTGCTTTATCTGCTGACTGCTAAATCACACATAATTATACTTAGTACAAAAACGAAGTAACTTTATGTTTATCTTTTATTTTAATAAATGTAATACTTTTGGAAAGCCTGTTTATTTCCTCTAAATGGAGCCACATCTGTGAGGAAAATGCACTTGTGGGTTGTGCCCATGAAAAACTTCTCTGCCAACGTCAGGCAGCTTATTCTGCTATTGAATCTTGTTTTGAGGTTGACCACCCCAGGTGGAGTCAGCAACATTCATACAGCAGTTGGATCAAAGGGTCAAAGCGTAGAGAAGATGCAGGGAACGCTATGTTGATTGCTGCATCGATGAGATACCAACTTTTGCTGTGTGTGTGTGTGTGTGTGGGGGGGGGGGGAGGATCTCCTTCACGTGAAAAACAAGCTGGTCATCATTGGAGGCAATCAAAATGCAGAGACATATTGACATGAGATTCTGCAACCAGTGGTAATCTAATACTTTCACATTCTGGGACTGAACTTTTTCCTTGAAGATGAAAACCCTACCAATACAGAGCGGGGTTTATCAGAGACTACTTCCCCTCCAGAATGTGGGGATAGAGAGGATGGCATGGCCTGCCTCAAGCCCAATGCAGTGTGTGACCAAGCTGCTGACCAGCAGGAGGAGGTCGTAGGCTGTTGTGGCTGTGTATGATTCTTCCGCATGCTAATAAGCCCCCTGTTTATCAAATATATAAATATTAAATTGTCAGCATGTCTTGTTTCTTCAGACTTTATTTATCAAATCAAATAAATGACACAAAATAAGAGTAAAAAGCAGAAAAAGCTAAGCTAAAAACTTTGGCATTGGTAGAGAAGCCTTTCAGGGGTGTAATTCACGTACTCAACTCTGCTGCTCATGCATTTTCCTTACAAATTTAAGTGGAAATAAACAGACTCTCCCACTGTGTAAGATTTATTGCCAAGAAGCATTTGTTGCAACAAAGAAATAATCAACCAAACACACGCTTCTTTACTTTATGTGCCAAGTTTATTTCAATGAGGGGGCATTTTTTTGATGACCATTTGAAGAGACTGGCAGTGAGGCAAACAAGAACCAGTGAGACACCATTACTTGTCCATCCCTTGTAGAGTTAATCTTCTTTCAACATGGAGTGTCATTGCCATTTCCTCAATAAAAAATTGTGCACAGGATCCCATGACAGGATTGATTATAACAAGGCAGCATACGGACTCCTGTTTATCACAAGAATCTCTAATCGGGCATCAGCTGGAATAATAAGAAATTCTTCGAGTCACGATGTTAACTCGATGGAGCACATGAGCAAGATAAAAAAACAAAAAAACATCTGCACAAGTTCCCATCAGCCCCTGACCATCATTTTCTCTCCAGCTAAGAATCATACTGACATCATTAAAACATTTTTAGTCTGAATAAAAGTGCAAAACTGCTACAGCAGCTCCTTGAATGCAGCACTGCAATGAAAAGGCACTTTGGTAAAAGCAGAGATACAGTGAAACATACAGATATGCACCTTTAGTCTACGCTTACATGTAAATTACAGTTACAGGAGTGAAAGCCTAGGAAGAACCATTGGAAAAAAAAGAATACAAAAAACCAAAACACACCAATAAAAGTTCTATAGGTTGTGCTCAGTTCTAAAAGAGGAAGCAGGAAGTGTGGATCCAGGTTACACTGACATGGAACATTACACAGGCAGGTCAGGACACTTTGAGTCTGCCCTCAGTTCAGTTTCATACTTCCCTCTTAATAATAAGTCGACTGCAGACGTTTGGTTAAATCCAAAGTTCACCACAGCACAGGGAAGTCCATTTTGCTGAATCCGGGATCTCTGCGCATCTCCCAGTACGTGTTGTTGCTCACCCAAGTGTCATCCTTAGACTTCCTGTCAGCAAAACACAAATGATCATGAATTAGTATGACTGACAGATACTGACCGACGCACCACAAAATTACAAATAGGAACTACAGATGAAGATAGAAAAATTAGCTCCCCTGTGAACATTTCCCAAATATTATAAAGCATTTCTCCAAACATCCTGGTTTTATTTGGATGCTTACATTACGTTACTTTGCACACAAAAAACATTTTTTAGTCAGTTATAGTAACAGTGTATCCTTTTGCTGGATAACAGCCTGCAGTAATTTCTTGTAGTTTTCAGCTAGTTTCACTCACGTCTCCTGAGCATCATCAGCCCATTTTTCCTTTGGCAAACCTTTAAGCGCCTCCAGATTTGATGGTCTTCTGGCACAGACCTTGGTCTCAAATCACCCCACAGATTTCCAGGGCATCGTGCAGGTCTGTTAATGACATTCACTTTGGTCTTCTGGAGGTACGTCTTCACCGGGAGCAACCCATGTTTTGGGTCATTGTTGTGTTGGAAGACAAAGTGATGACTCAGACATAATTGTGCCGCTGAGGTTTTCTTTCATTATCTTCACATTATCTTCTTCATGATTCCTTCCACCTTGATGAGATTCTCTGTTCCAGAAGCGTCCCCGCAGTATAATATTCACACCAACGTGTTTCACTGTGGGGACACCGTTCTTTGGGCTGTACACCTCTCCCTATGTTCTCCAAATATAAACAGTTTCTTTGGCCAGGATTTGGCAGGATTCTAGCGATTGTCTTCCTTGAGACTACAATTCCCAACTTGATTAAATCATTCATTAGTGTCTTGGCAGTTCCAGGCTCTTTAGATCTCTCACTAGTTTGAGTCTTTTGCTTTCTACCTCTGCCAGGTTAGTTCTGTACTTTGTGGCTCCATTTGAATTTCTTGATACTTCTCACTACAGTTCTTGACACTTGGAAACACTGTGATTACTTTGCTTTGTGAGCAGCAACAATTCTTTAAAGTCTAAACTGATTTCTTTTGTTTTTGACCTGATGCTTTCTCAAGTGACCGCTCAAACCCTTACTGAAGTTTTTATTCTGTGTGTAGGCTGAAAGATAAAGTCAAAATCAAAATTAGGTTAACTCTGAAATGCTCTAAGCTTTGTTTGTGCTATAGCTTAATAAAACGTTCAGTTTTTCAGGGGATTGATCATTTTGACCCTTGTATTTTTTGTTTTTTCCTGAAATAATTATTTTATTGGGTGCAAACAGAAAACTAGTGCATTTAGAAATGCATGTTGAAAATCATTTGCTCTGCTAAAAGGAACATTATGATAAAAACTTTAAATTTCATACAGGAGCTAATAATTTTACCCTCATCTGTACTTTGAGTTACAACAAGCCCAGGATTATGTTGGGAAAAAAAACAAACAACCAACCAACCAAACAACCAAACAAACAAACAAACAAACAACCAACCAACCAAACAACCAAACAAACAAACAAACAAACAAACAAACAAACACACACAAACACTGCACACAAAGACCTTACAGACAAGGAAAAGAGCATACTTGAAAAAGCGTGGCTGGTGTGTCATGTTGTTGTCCTGCAGCACTTTCCTCCTCTCCCTCTGGAGCTGCTCTATTCTCTGCTTCTGCTCCTCAGCTCCATCTACATTCCCCTCCTCCAGCAGCCTGGAATAAATATACAGAAACACAGTCAGGGTGGGGATCAGTGCAGATTTGTTCCTGCTGTCTGTCAGTGCCATTCCCAACCTCCACAAAAAAGAAAAACTCCAGCTTTCGTGCAGTTTCGGAAGTGACTTGATGCCGCTGTAACAATATTAACTTCTGAATGATGTCACTTAATAACATAATGTTGGTAGTTAATCACTGGATAGCTGTTACACAACTTTGTAAACCTGCTGGATTCATGTTAATAAAACATTTTCTAGTTACTCAAATTCAAATGAAAGAACAAAGATTTATGTATTTATGTTGACTCACTGAAACATGTCCCTTCTTATAGAGCTATTATACTTATAGAGTTATTCAACTATTCTAGGACAGTAGGAATATATCTTTTGAACAAGTAATTTAAAAAAAAAAACTTACTATACATTTAAAATATTAGACTGTACATAAAAGATGAACACAACTTCCTGGTCTGAAAAGTAAAGCAAATGCATTTTTAAAAGGCAATGTGCATTCTTTGTAATGGCCAGCAGGGGGAAAATCTATATAGAAGAAAACGTTTCTCGGACTCATTTGTCTGTGAACAATCTGCTAATGTGTTTATACTCAAGATCTCTGGTTTCCAATCTTAGAGAATACAATATGTTGTTGTTTTTGTTGATTATGGTAAGAGTGAAAAAGGAGGATAAAGTAAACAGAAACTCCTTAACACAAACTTCTTCAAAACCTATTGTATACAATACTAAATATGCAAAACTTAATGTACGTTCTCAGTTAAATTTGAACAATACAGTCCAGATAAAAACAAGATGGGAAGCTGAAATAAATAGACACCAGAGGATAGGCAGGAAGAAATATGTGCAGGAGTACACACGATAGCCAACTCCAGACACTAGTAATCGTGGCAAAAATTAGCTTAACACAAGCAAACAAATGTTGGGGAAAATGTCAGCCACATGCTGGTAACCATACCTACAATATGTTGGTATGAGATATTAAAGGCACACAAAAATACCAGAGGGCAGTGAAGGAAGAGAGGAATAATTCCTTTAAAGAAATTGTGTATCACTTTTAAGTGGCTCAAACTTGACCCACCAACGTATTACAGCCACAGCTAGGTCAAGAATAAATAACATAGTCTCTGAGAATTCAACAAGATATATTTATCAAACAGTGGAGGCCAGCTGAGGTGATCCTGACATATTGAACTCATCTGAGTTAACTCTCAGATCCAAAACCACACACACCGATGTATGAACATATGAACTTCTTAATCCGCAGGGTTTAATTTAATGCTAGCCCACCTTTGCAGCTATAACAGGTTCAACTCTTCTGGGAAGGCTTTCTACAAGGTTTAGGAGTGTTTATGGGAATTCTTACAAAAGCGCATTTGTGAGCCCAGACGTTGGAAGGCCGGGCTCACGGTCTCTGCTCTAATTCATCGTACAGGTGTTCTATCGAGTTGAGGTCAGGACTGTACCGTCCAGTCAAGTTCTTCCACACCAAACTCGCTCATCACCGTCTTTATGAACTTGGTTTGTGCACTGGTGTGCAGTCATGTTGGAACAGGAAGGGGTCATAAACAAACTGTTCCCACAAAGTTGGCAGCATGAAATTGTCCAGAATATCTCGGTATGCTGAAGCATTAAGAGTTCCTTTGACTGGAAATGAGGGGCTGAGCTCAATGCCCGAAAAACAACCCCCATACCATAAGCCCCCCTCCACCAAACTTGACACAATGCAGTCAGTTTCTCCAGGCAACCACCAGACCTAGACTCATCCATCAGACTGTCAGAGACAGAAGTATGATTCATCAATGCAGAGATCACGTCTCCACTGCCCTAGAGTCCAGTTACTCTATCTGATGATTTGTACTGTGCTTGGTGATGGGTGAGTGAATACTTTTGGCAATATAGTGCATCACATCCAGTTTCAAAACACCAAGTTGTTGACAGCCAAAATAGTCAACGTGAGACCTGAAGACGACGCCTCGGTAATTAATGGATGATTTCATGTTCTATATACAGTCTATGTTTAAAGGACAATCTCTCTCTACAAGCAAGGACATACACAATACTCTTCATCTTTCTGGATCTAGACTAGTATAGCTGTTGCTATGGTTATGTTCATACCTCTGCCTTGTGCTGCTTCACACCACATGGGCAAAGCCAGACTTGGCCCAGAAGCTCATGGAACCAAATGGTCAGATTTTACAGCTTTGAATTTATCTATTGTATAAGACCATCTGTTTTTGTTGTTTATTGTAATCAGGACTAAGAAAACAAACTGAGATTCTCAATGTTACAGTGTGTACACAGGAATGAGAGACAAAGAGTGGCAACCTCTGGTCCGGCCTGAAGCGCGTGTCCGATGGGGGCAGCAGAGGTCTTAAAGCAAGGTCCAGCTCATTTAACTCCACCGCAAACTGGGTGAAGCCGTAGTACTGTTCTTGGTCCACTGGCATTGGATCTAAACACAGACAGACATAAAAACAAGCAGCTCTAATATCATGTTCAGGTCAGTTGTGCGCTTTGACTGAAGCGGTGCAAGACAGTGTGACCGACACTTCCAGCGACTCCTCACTTACTTGCTCTCCAGATACACGTGGCAGACGGTGGCTTCCCTTGAAACACTGCTTCGTTCCATTTTCCAAATATGGAGTGCACCACTTTTCCATCTGAATCTGTAACCACACCCTCTATCTCATTCACTGTAGAGCTCCATGTTCTTGCCTAAAAAGGAAATATTTATATTTCATTTTAAAAAGAAGGACACGATACATATACATTACACCATACAAAAGCAGACATTATTTGTATCATACAAACTATGCACTAAATCCTAAATGAATCCTCTTAAATTTAAAAGAAACTGCAGCATTGTTACTTTTTCTGACATTTATTTTTTTTTACAGGTCAGCTTCTTTTTTGTCCAGTAGATGGTGCTGTTTAAGCTTCTAGCGTTGAAGGAATTTGGCTTACTACTGCTATTATGGCTTTATGTGCAAGAAATGGACATTTGAATGAGCAGTAATTTTATAACAAGCGTGGATCATTTTTACGAGCCTGCTCAGATGATAAGGGAGCTTATAAAAAAAAAAAAATAACATGTTAAAATTACTAATAACAACAGCATGACAGAGAATCACATGTATTTAGCAAAATAATATTACAAACAGTAAGGGGGGGAAAGTTTACTCTAATATTGGTGGCTTACACACAGCATCTTTGTGTACTAACCTTAACAAATGTAATTTTGCACTGGCAGACATTGCTGTTGATGTTTTTGATCGCCATCTCGCCGTAGTGTTCGATCCAACGCTGGCCACTCAGGATGTTATGGATGCAGGATGTCACCTTGTTCCATTCATAATGGTCCCCAAACCTGCAGAAAACACACACATATACACACACAATGCACCATTTAGCTTGCACTCATTACACATCCACAACAAAATAGAAAAAAGTAAAGAACCTACGCAGGTAGCGTGACACGGGTGGTTCCCATGGGAACGATTTCCATGGATTTTCCCCAGAATTTATTTTTCCATCGAACATCTGGAGAGAACAATAGAGCATTAAGGGAACAATCTGTAGCTTCTCTGACTACCCAAGGCTGCTCAGTTATTTTTTAACAACGCGCCAGAATGCATCAGAGCTTCCACAAGCTATATTAGTATAATCAATAGAGTCATTTTATAGAGAGCAATGATGCTAAGCAGTTAATTATCACATGATAGGAAGGTACAAGATGATGGTCAAATGAGGTTATTTAGATCGGCTAAGACACTAGTTTCTGCTACATGTAAAATCTACAGCATGCAGCAAACACACAGGAACAAGGTGTGGGAGCTCTGGTGTAATCTGCAAGAAGCCCAGGCAGACAAGAGGGTGGATGTGGGGTGTTTATTCCAAATAATCCCTGCGGGGCTCACCTTGCCAAAAGGTGAAGTTCTTTGAATCAGCATGACATGCTGACACAGGCGGGTGATGACTCACCTGGAAAGTGGGGAGAAAAAGAAAACAATAATGAGGTCCTTTATGAAAAGGTTGGGTCTGTAAGTTGAAAGTTAATTCTTTGCTAGCTATACAACCAATAAAGCATCAGATCACCGCAGGGCACCATTTCACTGCCCTACATTTGTTGCTACTACTAGGCTAGTTTTGTGAAAAGAGTCATAAAGAAAGTGGCATTCATATGTTCCCCTCCACTTTTTGTAAACAGAATCTAATGAAGTTGTCACAAATAATTTGACAGTTGCATTAACTTAGAGATGACAAAGCAGCTGTGTGCAGTCTGAAGAGAATGTGTAAACTTTGTGACTTCTACCTGCTCAGCTATAAACCTGAAGCCCTTATCAGGCCTGTCGCACTCGTACGTCTCTCCCAGGACGGGGTTAAAGGGTTTGCTTCCTGCTCGGTAGTAGGTGGATGCATATGAAGATATTGCAAATGTAGCAACATACACCTGCACAAGGAAGGAAGAAAGGGATGGCTCAGTGAATGACACTTGGTTCCAAACAAGAACAGTAAGATGTTCCCACTCTGTCATTCTATTCAAAAAATAAATATGTCAAAAACACCCTCAGAGTCAGCCACGGGGAAAGCTTGAGCCCCCTCATACACTGGAGCTCAATCAATTTCAAACCCACACTAAGAAGTAAAATAATATTTTTGTTTCCCGTCAGAACATCTTTGTACCTACAACCAACTTCAAAGGTGAGTTTTTGCATGGGTCATATCCCTGTATGGGATGGGTAGCTGCTCTCCTTTTTACATTGCACTCTGATACAAGACCTGATTTGGTTGCAGTTTTAATGAAACAAGATAAAGCAGAAGTTGTCAAATTTCAGCCGACCTTTACATACTTGAGGGCCTGAAAGTCCAATAATTTTCATAGTATGAAGGTCAAATTCAAATTCATTGTTTCACTACAAAAGAAAAAAAACAAAAAGCTGTGAGCAGGGTGGGCTCAGGCAGGAAGCACTCACTATCTTCCATGGAATGAGCCTGTAATTGGTTTCTGCAAAAAATTCACATCCCAGACTATGAAGATAAAACTGTGTATAGGAATTTGTCGGAGAAGAAACTAACAGAGGCAAAATCTGTGTGTGTGTGCATTCATACATGACCCTATTTTAAATATGAATTTGTGTTAAAGGTAATACACCACAGTTTGTATCGTTTTATGTTTTATGTGAGTGACTTCCTTGTAATTAAATATTTATTGACGGCTCCAGAAAAAGTACACATTATACAAAACAAACATCACATTAGCTTCCTGAGGAAGAGCACAGAGCTTATGTCTGCTAGGTGTGTTATTAATATGCCTGTCAGAGGATCTGAACCTCAAACTCTTGTAAAAATAACTCTGTGAATATGACTTTCAAAAGTGTCTCAGGAAAATTAGAACATGCTAATTTGAATGTTTTGCATGTGCCGGTTTGTAGTCCACATGTAAAATATTTCCCACTCACCATGCGCTGGTAGGGGTCTTGAGTCTGATTAGCAGTGTCCAGGAGTTCGCTGTACTCCAGCTCCTCACACAGCTTCTGCAGAGTGTTGAGTGGCTCATTGAGGTGCACGGGCATGGCCACCTTGGACAAGTCCTTGCCTATGTTGTTTCTCAGGATGTTCCACAGGCTCACGCTGTTGGCGGGACAGGGAGAGGGCAGAGTGGAGCGTCGACGAGCCAGCGTCACCACGCTGCTCACTACAGAAGAAATACGATGTCGTAAGAGACAGATTAATATGCATGGCTTTAAAAGACATAAGTGAACACTGATGTTTGCATGGGAGGAGTGTTTTTTTGTTTTGTTTATATGTTAATATGATTATGTATGCAGATTCCAAGTGTATACACGAACTTGTGGAGGACACCAAGAAGACGACCTACAAGGCTGAGTTTGGTGCAAATGGGGAAACTAATAAAAATGGAAAACTGCATTTGGGACTGAATGATTTGATTGCAGGAATGTCGTTCCTTCTGTTTGTGAAAAGATTAAAAACCACAGCTTTCATGCCGGTCACACACTGCATTAAACAACGCTGCACTGAGTTTGTAAACATGTCTGGGAGTCTGTGCCGATTTTCAACACATTTTTGGAGCCAAAGATTTATTTCACTGATACTTAGTGATTGTATTAGCTCCAAACTGGTTAAGGATGTACTGAAAATTGTCCACACGAATGCAACATAGGTCACATTTTCAAAGCATAACAAATGTCAGTATCCATATCAATAAAATATCAGTATGAAATCTTACTGTTACTAGGCATCAATAATTTATTTGATGCTGTTACGTCACGGAAAATGTCCCTAGAGGTCCTTTTCTTATTTACACAGTATAATTTTTGCAGATGTTATTACATCGCCAGCACTTCTGGGCCCAAAATTAGTCCCTAAACCACGACAGGGCCTCCACCGTGTTGTACAGATGGCTGTAGACACTCACTGTTGTACCTCTCTCCTCTCCTCCTCACTACATTATGACGATGATTTGAACTACAAATTTCAGATTAGGATTCAGCTTTTCATACACAGTGGGTGTCACAATGACTTCTCACAGATGCACAGCTTGTTGCCTTATTACTTACCGGAGTTGTGCCTCTCACTCCCCCCAGCGTTGCTGTAGGTATCCACGGAAACACTGTCACTGACATCACTTATATACGAGTCATCGTCAGACACCTTGAGATAGGAAATCAATGATGAAAGGTCAGTGAGCCAGCAGGATACTGAATCAAAGGACAAAAGCACACAGATCTAGAAAGCCTCTGCATCATCGGGATAGAGGAGAACATTTTAGGAGTGACATGTTAGTAAAGCTCAGTTAGGCAGTCATTTTTTTAAATCCCATTTGCAGAATTGTCTTTGAGTATTCATTCAACTGGTTGAGAGAAATCTACACTTCTACACCTCCCTCTACCCTGACTTTAAGTTTTAGAAAAACCAACCATGTAACAAAAACAGTGTTGCTGATTTTTTTTGCGTGTGTTTTTAGTTTTACACTATAATTATTTTTTAAATCTCTACACAGAAACTGTTTAATCTGTGTGTGTTTTTCAAGTCATTTCCATAATGTGTGTGTTATGGAACAAAAGCAGACCTACGATTTCTCTGTCATATATAAATGGTTATAATGGTGTCCGATTATGTTAAACGTGGCTAAATATTCAACAAAAACTAACTAACTAATATTTTGGACATGCCAAACTTTTTGTGTGGGAACAACGTTGGAATGAATCAGCTGATCATTTATTGCGTTTTGAACATGGAGATGCAGTTGATCTTGCAGATGATGTCTGACCTCGTTCTCAGAAGAGGAAGAGGACAGGAGGTACTCCTGAGCGTCAAAGAACTCCGTTAAGGACTCTGATCCTTTGCTCTCACTGGAGACCTGGTGCACCAAGGACTGTGGGGCATCTACAGAATCCTGAATTGGATAAAAAGACACCAGGTGAGTATAATCAGACCACTTGTCAGGTATTGTGAGTATTTGTGGTGTAATTCCACAGGACCATAGAATTTGACCCGGTGTCACTCACTGAGGCATAGGCGGTCTTTAGACCGACAACATGCGCAGGCTGGGTGGGCTGCAGGTCAATAGTGTGTCTCAGCCTGTCTCTCTCTGCCACCAGGGAACTAAATGCTGACTTCAGTTTGACGTGGACTGGAGAAAGGCAAATGTCAGAGACGGGAAAATAAGCAGGGACACAGCAAATACTGAGTTGTCATGGAAACAATTTTGTCGTATGGCAGTGAACACACAAAAAAAGCATATTTTTAAATCTACAGTAAACCAGGAAAGGACTCACTGCTGTTGGCTAGTTGGCAGAAGTCCTTTTGCAGATGTGAAGCATCTGCAGGTGATTCTGGGGATTCAGGACAGACTTCTTGGGTGTTTGACTCAGCGGTGGAGAGATTTGGATTGGAGGCATGAAGGCGATAGGACTGGGACTGGGGCTGGGAGGAGATACAGCTTGGAACCTGGCAGTCAAATACAGACAAAAGTGAGACATTACATTCCCTTCTTTCCCACCATTTAATGACTGAACTATATCAAAGCATAAGCAGCAGAGGAAAAAAATAAGAAGCAGGGCGTGAACCTGTAGCGTGGCTTTTGTGTCTTTGCCATTGTTTTTGGACCGCCACCTCCTCGGCCTCTTCTCCTTTTTGGGGATCTCATAAGTAGCTGCCTGTGGCACCACAGACATATTTTGAGGTTGTAACAACATTAGAAGAATTCCAAGATCAGGGTTTCCACCAGTGTTTTCCCATCCCAGCATCCCATCTTGCCTAATGTGACCCTCCGCAGTTTTTTGTTTTTTTTAAAAGACAATGCAATGAATTTACTGTATCCTCCTCCACACCCTTGCCAACTACCAGCTCTAACATTTCTGGTGGAAAGCCTGTATTATTAACATAACAGTTTGTCTTACTAATCTCTTTGAAAAGCAGGTGGACACTACAGCAAACAGCTTTAACTACATTTCCCAAACATAAACTTGTAAATACATTTAGCAATAAAAAGAAGCATTTTTTAATATGTTATTTATCCACCTGTAGGCAAACACCAACTTTTACTGTGAAACTTCAGTGGCTACTAACAACTTAGACCCACCACTTCCTGTCTATGTTCCCCACCAGCATGGTAACTAAGTTGCTTTTGTATTATTGACTTTAATTATATGGGAAACACATTGATTATTATAAAGAACCACTAATGGCAGCTTAATCCGAGTGCCTGTGCTCACTTGTAGTCCACTGATGACTGGAGCTGAGTATGTGCGGTGCAGGACCTCCATGCTCTTCAGCAGCAGGTTCAGTTCCAGCAGATACGACTCACAGTCCTCCAAGTCTGAAAAAGAAAAAAAAAAGAGAAGGTATTATTAGATCAAAGTTGTAGGCACAGAAATAAAAGATTAACTGCACCAAGACATGCTGTGATAGGTAAGAAATAAGAAAGAAGACAGAAACAAACAAACCGACCTTTACAGCACTTGTCCATGTCGTCTGAGGAGTGGAGCCAGGAGTTTATCTTAGACTGGTGGATTGACGCCTGCTTGGTAAGAGTCGCCCTCTATTTGAGATGAATGACAAAGGATGATACACAATTTGCACAACACATCCCCAAGGATGTTTTTTTTTCCTTACACAAGAGGACTGGGGCAACTTACTTTCCTAAGCGATTCATTAAGAGAGGGAGAGGATGTCGCATGGGGGTGGAAGAGATGCTTCTCGTGGGGATACATGCTTATTTCATTCTGCCGAAACAGACGGTGATGACGCAGCTTTGACACCCACTCCTCAAACAGCTCCGGCGACTTCACCTGGAAGCCACAAAGTCAAATTAGCTTGAGGCAAACTTGAAGAACAAAAGCTCCTGCGGGTGTCTTTCTATGAAACACACAAAGGAAATCAAAGAGAAGACCTGCCGAGGTTGAGGCCCTTGCTAGTGAGGATACATCTCAAACAGCAGTAAGAAAAATAACGGGGAATGTAACTAAATGTCTCAAGAGTTACCTTTAGGTGGTAGATGTTGTCTTCCGTATCCAGATCAATGCACATGGCTTTTTTCTTGATTGACATTACAGAGAGACCAACGTCTATGCAGCCATGTAGTTTCCCCTTACTAATCTGTGCAATAAATAAATAAAACACTTTTCACTTGGCATTTAACTTGTGCATAAGTTTGTATATACAGAAGAGAGACAGATGGAGTCATAAAACAATACTTACATCGCTTTCCCGCTTTGCATATCTCATGATGCCTTTCTCCAACAAAAAGTATCTCTATGTTGGAAGAAGATAAATTAATTTGTATTTATTTACAGACGTGCCATGGTCTATTAATTACTGCGTATATAAACCATTAAACACAATGCAGACTGTGGAGATTTGCACAACAGTCCCTTTCAATTCTCTTGAACCTGACATTTAAATTTTATTACTGAAGTGAGATAAGTGACCCAAATGATTAAAGATAATCATCATATATTGACATAAGCAGTTTATGGGAACGCTGCATTTTACAAATAAGAAAGCTAAATAAAAGAGTGCGCTGACAGAGCTCAAGGCCTCTTTATCAGGTAAACTATGCTCTGTTAAAGGGGCTGTTCCATCATGTCGCAAGGAAAAAGTTTCCAAGTATGATTACACTCACTGAGATCAGAAGGGGAGGGGGATGAGTCAGGTTTACAGTGTAATCAGCTGGGAGTCAAAAGAATGGAAAGGAGGAAATACAGAGAGCTAAAAAAGTGGAGGAGGAGGAAATGTGGAAACAGCCTGAGGTACAGACAACAAATCAGGATACTAGCACTAGCATCATACTAGTATGCATCATAGAAAGATTACATAAAATGCTGCACTACAACTAACATTTTTAGTCTAAGACTCTTAAATAAAGGATCAACAGCAGTAGCAGAAGGGTTTAAGAGTCTCCTGTAACAACAAGCAGTGCTGCAGTCTGATGCGTTAAGAAGCCAGCAGAGGCCCTCACCTTATGCCAGCCCTTCATGGGCCACTTCCTTCTCTTGAGCAGGAAGCCTCCCTGCTTCTCAGGCTCCTGCATGCTGGCAGGAACCCCCCTGAGCCCTTCCACAATCTCCCAGTTATCCTGCAGGACAACAGGGCAACGAAGCATGAGACAGACAGTGAATGACTGTGTTGTGTGTATACATTTCACTATCACAGCAGAAACACTATGGCTGCAGTTATTGTTCCGCCTGACGAATGTGGCACGCATTTGTAGGAACAATTAAAATTTGGTCACAGTGAACAACCATGAATAAGTGAATCACTTTCAACTGTTTGACAGTGAGACAATGGACACACAGAAACACATTAATAATTTCTCACGTTTTATAGCCTGATGGGCACCACAGTGCGTGATGTTATTAGAATTTAACAAATTAAACATCACACAATAGTAACACATACAGATGTTACACACACCTGGCTGCCGTCATGTTTAGAGGAGCCGCTGCTGTCACTGTGAGTGGGTGATGTTGATGTCATCTTTTTGCGCCTCGACTAATCCTCCACCTACCGCTGTCTTGTATCTCTGGAAACCGTGGCAACAGAGATCACAGACGAGCAGCCAGGAGCATCACGCTGACCTTTGAAGGCCACTGCAACATCCAGCACTGCAGAGAACGGAGAAGGTAGGTTTAAAAAAAACAACATGTGAGAGCAACACAGGTTTATTTTAAACACAACAGCAACACGCAGCATCCATAATCAGGACGAGATAAAAACAGAAGAATCACTGACTCACTGTGCGTCTGTCTGCCTCTGAAATTCCTAAAGTCCAAAGTAGATGTGTTTAAAGGAAGCTAGCCATAAATATCCAAATACAGTCATTTCCATGAGCTCAATATAAATGAATTCACATGGAATCAGACGCAATGAGCTTTACACATACAAAGTCAAATACAGGGAGTGCAGAATTATTAGGCAAGTTGTATTTTTGAGGAATAATTTTATTATTGAACAACAACCATGTTCTCAATGAACCAAAAAACTCATTAATATCAAAGCTGAATGTTTTTGGAAGTAGTTTGTAGTTTGTTTTTAGTTTTAGCTATTTTAGGGGGATATCTGTGTGTGCAGGTGACTATTACTGTGCATAATTATTAGGCAACTTAACAAAAAACAAATATATACCCATTTCAATTATTTATTTTTACCAGTGAAACCAATATAACATCTCCACATTCACAAATATACATTTCTGACATTCAAAAACAAAACAAAAACAAATCAGTGACCAATATAGCCACCTTTCTTTGCAAGGACACTCAAAAGCCTGCCATCCATGGTTTCTGTCAGTGTTTTGATCTGTTCACCATCAACATTGCGTGCAGCAGCAACCACAGCCTCCCAGACACTGTTCAGAGAGGTGTACTGTTTTCCCTCCTTGTAAATCTCACATTTGACGATGGACCACAGGTTCTCAATGGGGTTCAGACCAGGTGAACAAGGTGGCCATGTCATTAGTTTTTCTTCTTTTATACCCTTGCTTGCCAGCCACGCTGTGGAGTACTTGGACGCGTGTGATGGAGCATTGTCCTGCATAAAAATCATGTTTTTCTTGAAGGATGCAGACTTCTTCCTGTACCACTGCTTGAAGAAGGAGTCTTCCAGAAACTGGCAGTAGGACTGGGAGTTGAGCTTGACTTCATCCTCAACCTGAAAAGGCCCCACAAGCTCATCTTTGATGATACCAGCCCAAACCAGTACTCCACCTCCACCTTGCTGGCGTCTGAGTCGGACTGGAGCTCTCTGCCCTTTACCAATCCAGCCACGGGCCCATCCATCTGGCCCATCAAGACTCACTCTCATTTCATCAGTCCATAAAACCTTAGAAAAATCAGTCTTGAGATATTTCTTGGCCCAGTCTTGACGTTTCAGCTTGTGTGTCTTGTTCAGTGGTGGTCGTCTTTCAACCTTTCTTACCTTGGCCATGTCTCTGAGTATTGCACACCTTGTGCTTTTGGGCACTCCAGTGATGTTGCAGCTCTGAAATATGGCCAAACTGGTGACAAGTGGCATCTTGGCAGCTGCACGCTTGACTTTTCTCAGTTCATGGGCAGTTATTTTGCATAGTTATTAGGCTTTCGAGCCTATACAGCTTGGAGTAAGACAACATGCATGAAGAGGATGATGTGGACAAAATACTCATTTGCCTAATAATTCTGCACTCCCTGTATAAATGAGTCAAAGTAGAACACAAGTGTTATAACCAAAGCCCACTGTTCAAGAAGTGTGTAAAATGAGCAGATAATCATGAGAACAGAGGTACATCGCTTTCCATGTTCTCCTCTTAAAAGTCACACATTACGTCTTAAAAGTAATGCAGTACATTAGGCCTGCACAATAAATCGAAAATTTATTGTCATCGCGATATCAGCCTGTGCGATGGGCCCATCGCAAAAGACGGCGTAAACTGCGATAATTGGATACCTTGAAACGTTTACACACATGCTTTAAAGAATTTACCAATCAAAGAAACCCCTTTACACATTTGACCAGTCAAATAGAGCCCTTCACGGCATTAACCAATCAAATGGATTAGAGGCCCGCCTCCTACGCAGGTTGGGAGCGAACAACGCTGCAGCAACAAGTCAGAGTTGTAATGGCTGAGAGCGAGACACATGACGAGAACGCTACTGACTATGAATTTAAAATAAATAAATAAATAAATAAATAGTACCTCGCTTATTTGGAGGTACTTTGGATTTGATAAAGACGACGTTCTCCAAACACAGGTACTCTGCAAAACTTGCCGAACACTCGTGGCAACCACCAGAGGAAACATGACTAATCTCCACCATCATCTTCAATACAACCACAGAGAACTGTTTGAAGAGTTCCAGAAAGACGGGGCTAGCTAATGTTGCTAATGTTAAGCCAAAGAGCACAGCAGTCCAACAGCCGACTCTGTATCCGAGTTTTTCAAGTGGAACTCCTTATGAGAAAACGTCGAAGCAGTACAAAGAAATAACAGAGGCCATTACACATTTTTTGACAAAGACATGATGCCTATAAATACAGTTAGCAGAGAGGGCTTCACCAGTCTGATACAGAAAGTGGACCAGAGATACCACACCCCCTCACAAAACTACTTTTCCCATGTCGCCATTCCACAAATGTACGAAACATGCCGCAAGACCGTCATGTTTGAACTGAGCCAAACTGAAAACTACGCAAGCACTACAGTAAAGTTTCCTCTCCAGTTTCGACTTGCATCATAACTACTTGGTGAGTGAACAACTGAATGAACAACTGCATTGAGATAATTTTCAGTATAATTTAAGTTATGTTAAAGTGCACTTTGTTGTTACATTGCTAATACAGCAGCTTTCTTTAAATAAAACTGTTGCAGTAAAACGGAAATTATGTATTTGTTTTTTTTGTTTTTTTTGTTATTTATTTTATCGCAAGTCATATCGTTATCGCGATATTGATCACAGTTATCGCGCATCGCAGGTTTTCCTAATATCGTGCAGCCCTACAGCACATTATCTAATTGCTCATCACAGAGGAATTATTTTCTTATTAGTCTGTAAAAATGCCCTGAAACACACCAGCACCTGTAAACAATATAAGCCTATAGGCTACAGTCTCACACGCCAACACAAACTCTAACCTATCCTAAGGTGGACACACATATGAGCTCTCTTTTAGTTTTGAACAAAAGTCAACAGCACAAAGATAAAAGCTGAAGCAGTGTTAGCAGTACAATGCAGTCGTTTTTGTCATGGACGCAGTTTCCACTTTACCATCAGCCTCTCGTCCTTTTGTGCAATAAAAATAAAAGTAATGTTCACGTCTCCACTCCTCAACAGCTTTACCACAGTACCGCTCCACTGTTTTCCTCCTCCCGCATACAAACTGAAATCAGCTGCTTGTAGCACAAGTGCACAGGAAGAAAAACAAGATTGTTTGATTGATGTTTTTTTTTTTCTATCCGCCTGGACAACTGAAGAACTGACACAAGTAATAGCATAATTGTAACTGTAATGTAATTAATGTGTTACATTACTGCGTTACTGAAAATGTAATGTGATTACAGTACCCCCAAACACTGTTGGCCAACAGGTCTAAGTATCCTGTATAGTGTATGACATCAGTTTCAGCCAAACATTTGTTTAAACTGCTCTAAACCCTAAATTTTAGGAGGTTTTTCTCTTGGTTCTGTATGATGTCACTGAGAGTGGATATCCTTAATAAACTCATTTGTGGCACACAGCAGTAGCTCTGAGCACAGAAGCCTGACAATGTTTCCAATGTTTCCATGTGAAGTTGGCTTCAAGGGAAGGTAAGAGTATAAATAAATGTGTCAATGACACAAAGCTACTCCCTCATCTGCCTTCACTCGCTTGTGAACTTCAGTGACATCCCATTCTTAATCTACAGGGTTTAATATTATGTCAGCTCATCCTTTGCAGCTATAACAGCTTCAGCTCTTCTGGGAAGGCTTTCCAAGGTGTTGGAGCGTTTATGGGTATTTCAGAGTATTCTTCCAGAAGCGCATTTATGATGTTGGACGAGAAGGCCTGGCTCGCAGTTTCATTCCAAAGGTGTTCTATCAGGTCGAGGTCAATCAAGTCCAGGCCAGGCAAGTTCTTCCACAAGAAACTCGCTCATCCATATCTTTCTGGACCTTGCACTAAAAGTTGGCTGTGGAATATTTAGTAGTGAGGAAATTTCGCAAGTGGCATCCTATCACGGTACCACGCTGGAATGAGCTCCTGAGAGCGACCCGCTCTTTCACAAATATTTGTAGAAGCAGTCTGCGTGCCTCGGTGCTTGATTTTATACACCCGTGGGAAAGGACATGATTGGAAGACCTGAATTCAAGGATTTGGACTGGTGACTGAATATTTTTCACAGCCACTATGTCTCCAATCTAGTAATTGTAAAACAAAATAAATAAAAAGGAGACCTAGTTTTGCATGACAGGTTTAAGGAGTTTTTCCTGATGCCTTAAATGTACACACCAACGCTCCATGTGATGCAACATTCATTCAGTCTCCTCACCTCAAATGGCATGTTCCAACCTTGCTGTGCTTGTATCTGTGCGTTAATGGCACTCCCTTTTTGCACAGCCCTCTCTTTCTGTGGAAGTACACTGTGCATGTGAGAGGAAAGGGAATGCCTCTGAGGTTTGCGTGTGACCGAATGTATGCAAATGGGTGTAATTGTTTGGATTTGCTGCTAGCTGCAAACTGAGAAAGCTCTGGTGGTTTATGAGCGTGTGTGTAGTCTGTGGTTCCCCTTGCTTGCAGTCAGTCCCATGCTCAGGACGTGAGTCATCAACAGGAAAGAATGCGCACCGCACCGCGCTTCGATACCCCCGGCACACCAAAACACAAGGCTAGCGACAGTAAACACACGGCTAAAAGCAGAATGAAGCACATGGACGGCCCACTTACTTCACAGCTACTGCACAGGCTAAAGGGTCAGACAACATATCTGAGCAGCCCTCAGATTATAAACTCAGGGAGCTCAGTTTAGCTCATCAAGCTGTTCTGTTTGCAATTTTCAGGCTGCGACATGTCTGGCATCTTGAGCTGCATTAGAAGCTTCACAGAAATATGTTATGAATTTACTGCACAGCTCAACAGCATACCACAGCGATGTAAATACACCTGTATGTAGTGTAAACAACAAAAGATTAATGCAATCATACAACATTGCATTTACATATAATATAGGAGCTCAGGGCCTCAACAGTAAGTTTACAACATCTGAGGCTCACTGAAAAGCTACATGCAAAATATGTGGCGATTATGAATGAAGAATTATCAAGTACCACTTGAACAAACATGGTTAACATTGCCTCCCTCCCATTCCTGTCATTTTGTTTTCCTTTCATATATGTCAGCAGAAACTCACATTTCTCAGAGCAAAACCACAGCAATTGCTGTGCATTAGTTTATCAGCTACGGAGGCCTTTCTGGCTTCTATGAGACGAGTCCCTGAACACCCCACCGGGTGCTCTACTTAGCTCAGCTGACTGATTACCGTAGGACTGTATCTCACCAAGGCCTCTGCACTGTAAGACTAGAAGTGCTGGGGTTTTACCTTCAGTCTTATGTAATGTGAGTCAATCATTAATGGCCCAACACCTTGTAAGTGATCTCACAAGATGGAAACAGGTCATTCTCATGGTAAGGGCCAACGCTGCTGAGTCACAAGGGCTTAATGGGGGAATAAAAGGTTTAAAGGAGATGTAAAAGTGACTCTTTTTTTTCCCTGTGGGTAAGAATTTGTCATTTTGTGAAGAGATGAAACAAACGCAAATGGAAAATGTGTTTAGACTCTAGACACTGAGCAGCGCAAGAGCTGCTTGGGCTAACAACAATAAATGAATATAACTCTGATATGTTCTTCGTTTGTCATATTGTGGATTTTCTGCACACTGCACTTCAGTAAAAAGTACCTACAAGGCCCAGAATGACAACAGTTTATCCCCTAAACTTCAAGACTGGACTTTAAAGCAGCTTTTAGTTGAGCACACACACACACACAGATTCAACAGACAAAAGTCAGACGTGTAAATACAAGAGCGGATTATTCTTCTTGTAGCCATTTTCACAGACTTTACCTAAAAGATAGATGCAGTCAAGGTCAAGTTACCCACTGATTAGTGAAGTCTTATTATGAAACCTGCAGAGGGCACTGAGGGAGAGGACTTATCATCCTTTTTATACTCTAATGGGGGACAGACATTACAGAAGGTGAATGGTGCATTCAATACAACCTGAAACTAATGACTGAGACCATAAACTGAGTAAGAACGTGCTTACAAAGATCACAGTTTAAAGGCCTGATTACAACTTAAAGAGTTATCATTTATTCTGTCTTTCTTGACTTCAAATAGGCTAAAAAATATTTTTTTAAACCGCAAACATTTTGTAACACTGCAGCACTCTTCCTCTCACATACCGCTGTGTTGCTTTCAATTTGTATTGTGTGTTTAATGTGTTCATATTTTTCCCCATTGCATACTTTCAAATTCCTTTCCTTGGCAACTCTGCTGCCAGTACACTTTGAATTTAGCAAATGACCATGACCTGGTAATTGAATTCAGATAATGGGAAGATCCTGTGGGTATGTTGAACTTTCCAGTGCATGGCTCAGGAGAGCTGAGGGTCATATACACTTTTACAGAATAAGACTTCTTTCTGAAACCAGAAGAATCGCCTCCTAATGGACATTAAATAAAATCCAAGTTTAAGACATCTCCATCGGCTTGATTTTTCAGACCCGAAAGCTACGTTCATCTTTGATATGCAGCCTATGCTTTTCCCATTCAAGACTCACCAGATGCCCACAAGATTACAACGCTTGTGTTCATTCAAAGTATTCCTGAAGAATTCCAAGTATGCTTTTACAGCCATAATATGAAGACCACAGGAATGTCCTCTCTTTTAATTTGAACATGACTACAGGCAACACAGTGATTGCTCACTGGTTTCAGGCTGAAGCCTGAGAAATTGTAAGGCTGGAGTTTCCAGTTCTGGCATGGCAAACACACAGACCATGACTTACCAGCCAATCCATCTGCTTTCAACCACAAACTCTTGCAACAACTGGACTGCAAAAAACCCAACAGTCCACATCATTTTCATATCTGCTCTCCATTTTTACCTGACTGACTAACAAAGCAATGACGAATTACTGGTCAGAATCACTGGGTTGAAGCAGTGCATGATCCTGTTATTACCAAACAGAAAGATTTTCACTTTTTGCAGGTTTCATCTAGCCATTTCAGACATCAATACCCCAAATTCTGTGACAAAAATAAACCCATGTGTGACAGCACACGGTGTGATCAGATGGTGGCAGCAGCACAGTTTATCTGACCTTTGACATCAAGCGTGCATGACTGATAGCACTGAAAGAAATACAGTGCCCATTTTCTTTGTGCCGTTAGAGAAAAAACAAAAAACACATGTGGGTATGAGCGAGTGATCAAAGATACACATAGCAGCCCCAATATGTCACTCAGCAGTCACTGATTATTTCTCATGTGCAGCTAAACAGCATGCACTTAGATTCCTGACCAGTGTATTTATAAAGGCTACATCACAAAAGATGTCTCTCTGTCTGCTTCCTGCTGAGACAAGAGACACTTTGTGTTGCTGCTTCAATCACTGGTTGCTATGGATACAAAAAAAAAAAAAGAGGCAAAGCCAAGAATAAAGTTTGTTGATTCTTTATGAAAAATCTGAGGGACATAAAACACCAAACTATTTATAGAACATGTGGTGTTAAAAGCAGAAAAAGATTTCACACTAGTCTCTGTGCTGACCAGCTGGCTGGCATGGAAGTAAGACATAAGATCCTTTAACTTCATATAACCACAGGTGGGCTATTCTCAGACCAACCACTTGGTGTGTTAGTCTAACAAGAGTCTTCTGTATTTACCAGCTTTAAAGTGGGTGTTACAGAAAGGAGAAAGTGACACAGAGATAACTCAGCGAGTCACGTAGGCCTGGCTAGATGTTTGCACCCAAAATGTTGCAGCAGGGACAAAAAAACCTAACATTTTAGCTGGACAGGAATCAGCTGATTGACAGACTTAAAACCGACTCCCTTAGAGCAATAATCCTCTGGCCTGAGATCCTGTGCCAGGAGAGCAGACTGGAACAGAATCACTTGTAGTGGGAAATTAATATCTTGCACAAGGGCACTTCACCAAGGCAGACGCATGCCAACAAATGGGTTTGAAAACAGATTGCCGCATTTATGGACACTCTCTTGCTGCTAATACTCTGCCTAGGGCCTGAGGAATTACTATTTTTATGCATTAACCAGCCGGCTATTTCTGAGATTAACAGATTAGATCTCTAAATGCCAGAAACATCCCAAATTCCCCAACGAACAGGGTGCCATTTTTAAATGCTGTGTTTTGCCCAACTAACCTTAAGTTAGAAAAGCTGGCATTTGTGCTAATAAACTGGTTTGAAAACATTCATGAATCTGATAAATTATGAACTTTTCAAATAAGTCATCTGCCCAGCAGTTTTGCCAAACAGCCACTGAAAGTAAATCATTTAGAGGTTTTTCTGTTCATATACTCTCTAAATGTGGGTCAATATCGATGCTTAAAATAACAATAACCAATGATCACATATCGGTACTGGCTGATATATTAGCCTTGTTGACAGATATTTTTTTATTTTATCAGCAAGATAAAATTACATGTACCATTACCATTAATCTATTATGTTACAACAACAATCAAAATATGTAGTTCCCTCTTCCTCTCACCCCCAACCCATCACAGCAGGCTGTCCCTCCCTAAACCTGGTTCTGCTGGAAGATTATTCCTGTTAAAGAGGAGTTTTTCCAACGCTGTCACCAAGTGCTTGCTCATAGGGGGTTGTCTGATTGTTGGGGTTTGTTTCTAATGTTGTAGGGTCTTTAACTTACAATATAAAGCATAAAGTATTATTTTAAAAAAACTGAATCAACCATTTTTATCAATTTCAGTATTTCAGCTCTTCATCGTGCTACCATTGAATATTCAGCAAGCACAAAATTCATGTGAAAAAACAGATCAACGTAAAAAAAAACATCAGAACAAACCTGATGTTAGACATGTTAACAAAAACCTTCAGGGCTGTGGTTGTGTTTACATTAGCTTGAATGTTGCTCTGGCACTGTGTACCCACAGCCAAACTGTGAATGGCTCAGCCATCGTCACTCGTGCTTAAAATCATCTTGTCTGGGCTAGATGGTGCATGGTCTAGTTGTTCTACAGTAAAAACGAAAGAGGGTCATGAATTATGGTGAGTAAACAACAATTATTTTCATTATTAAATAATTGCCAGGTTATTTGGCCAGGTTGTTTTTAATATGAAAAAGAGGTTTATGTCGGGTTTGGGGGGGTGTTGTTTTTTGTTTTTTTGAAAAGTATGTGTAATATCCAGTGTTGGTTCAATTAAAGTTATCAAATAAATAAAAGATTTTATTAAACCATGGATTAAATCTCAGCTTCACTACAATGTAAATATCGGATATAATCAAGCTGAATAAAGTAAATGAATAAATACATATTTTGATGACACTGATGTCAGAGAAGCAGCCAGTGCGGATTGGTTACACGAAGCATGCATTCATGAGGACAGGACTCCATGGGAAGTGGGAACCACAGGTGTCCCGTCTAAGTGCACCAAAAGGCAATGCTCGGCTCCTGCTGCCAGCACAGCAACACAAAGTTGTCAGGGTAAACAAAAATTACCAAGATATCCCATGCGCTCGAAACACCCCCCGCCCCTATAAAAATACCCGCTATAAGTCGATCCTTACACGTCTATTAAGAACCTGATGTCTGGAGGTGCCCATTAATAATTCTATCGAAAGCGATACTTTTAACGTGAGCACCGAAACACTCACCGACAGCCGCCACGAGAACGCTGCCCAGCGCTTAATGCCAGCGGAAGCTAAACAACTATAGAAAAAAAACACACGAATAAATTCACTCGAGAGAAAGCGAAAATAATAATAATAATTCAAAAAGACATGCTTACGTTTCCGTGGGGAAAGCTAGTGCATCTTCTCCCGGTAGTAGCAAGCAGCCAGCAGCCTCGTTTTACTGCCAGAGTGTCGCGGGTGAGGAGGGGCCGCTGAGGGGGGGAAGGAGTGACTGACGTCCATCTCAGCCAATCGCAATCGAGGATAAAATCGGGGCGGGGTTGACATACTCCAGGTTGACGTACACATACGCCTCAAACACCGAATGAAGAGTCAAGGTGAGAGTTAAACATTGGGGTCTACGTGTTGTATGTTATCATTTTATTTTAGTTCAGTTAAGCTTTATTTACACAGCGCCAAATCACAACAACTGTCACCTCAAAGCGCTTTATTGTGAGGCACATACATGATCTTAAGTAGGCCAGAGCAGTGTAGCTCCCCTTTCTATAAGTATAAAGAAGTTTGAGGTACTTTAATACATAAAAGGAGGTGTAATGTCAAAAATAACGGTTTTCTACATTTGAAAGAAATGCTGCTCTGGGCTTCAATTGTAAGAAATAAATGTGTAAAATTATATAAAACAAAATTCTGTTAGCTCACTGTGGAGACTGTCCTACAATTGTAAAATTGATGATTTGTGTCAACTGAGAGAATTCTTTTACAAAAACAAACAAACAAAAACAGGAAAAACCATCAAATCTCTGTAATTTATTTGTTTATCTAATACTTCTTTCCTTTGGTGTAGTATTATTGGCTATGGTGAAGGCCTTCTTTTTGCAGGAAAAAGCTGTGAATAGCTATCAAACATGAAAGCTGTCAAACATAAGGCCTCCAGGCCATGCCCTACAACAATCACATCATCCCTCCACACCCTCCCCCAAAAAAGCATGTGGCGACTGTGGGAAGGAAAAACCCTTTTAACCCCAACAGAGGTGGAGGTAAGGTGAGGCAAGGGAGACTGGACAAAAGGCAACTCCCTCTTTGCCTTCAAAATATGTAGTTCCTTTGTCTGTAACATGAATAACCTGCATGTTTTACAATCCACACCTTCACCGGGCTTTGACGTCTGCATGATTTTTAACCCTGGAGAACCCATGGGGTCAAATTTTACCCCATGGTTTCCCTAGGAAACCAATGGGGTCGGCTCTGACCCCATTGGTTCTCCGGGGTTAAAAGAGAAATCTTCGCATTCCACGTAAAAAACAACAACAACAAAGTGACTTTTAATTAGAATTTCTGCAGTTGTTTATTAATGACCTATGCCTTACAGTATAGCAACCTTCTTTTCAATACATAACTTGTGATAGTATGCATTATAAGTGGCTTTTTGTTTTAAAAATAGAAGCCAGTGGTGTGGACTGCACGCCTTCATAATTCATCTGGTCTAAGGGCTTCACAACACTGTGCTCACTCCAGTGGTAGATTGTTTGGTGACTGTCCTTTGGTTGCAAAAGATGGCTTTGCCCACAACTGCTGACTCTTTAGTGAATCAATGAGTAAGTGAGAAACTTGGCGTCAGTGCACCCAGATGGAAGGAGCGAGGAAGCACAAACGAGCATGTGTTTATGTGTCTCTGCTTAGTGTCACTCATTTTCTCCTAAACTTCTGCCTGTCGTGATTTCTCTGAACACTCAGTCCACCTCTGCTGTCCTCTCCGTGCTGCCTCTGGATTTGTTTACTCAACAAACCCTCCTTTGCATGGGCATGAGGCCTTCACTTCCTGCCTGGGCTTATTTCTATGGCAACAGAAAAAAAAAGTGGGAAAGCAAGACTCATAGCTGGGCGTGTCCAGAGACTCTGAACCAGCAAAACTAATAGAGTTTGGAGCTTTAAAGGAATGTAAATCAGGACTGGGGAGAGAGCATGAAGTGGGACACTGGAAGCAGAGCAGACAGGGTGAGGAGAGCTTTCTCTCTGTGCCTGTATCACAGGTGCTGCCATTGTCACATCTAGGTGGATTCCCTTTTACTTAACTCACCTTACGAGTGATTAATTGAAGCCACTAAGGACCGCACCTTGACATACCTCACAGTGCAGACACGCCTGTCCACACACACACACACACACACACACACACACACACACACACACACACACACACACACACACACACACACACACACACAGTAAACACCAATGACTGGTACAGACATGTTTACTGAGTGAAGAGATGACAGTGCCATCTGTAGGTCAGCTGTGGTTACTGCAGACTGAATACTTTGTATTCAAGGATAAAAGACTGGCTGGGCTTTAGTGTTGTTTTTCATTGAAGTGTGCAGTTTAATGTTAAGTGTAAGGAGGATATAGTAGCAGCAGGAAATGCAGTTCAACTGCAAGACTTCTCTGTTTTGTAGCTGAGATTCATCCCTGAATCTGGATCTAATAAGATACTCATTTGGATCCTGTGTTTTCCCACAGTTTGTGTCTGTTAGAGACCAGGAAATGCATATAACACACAATGGATGCACAGATATCACAGGCCTTGAAAGTGGATTTTAAATCAGGCCCTCCACAAGATAATTTCACAATATTCATAATATTTCATGATATTGTTCCAAGGCCCCATGAATAAAAAGTACAACTAAACTGATGTATGGATGCAATCAGTTGTTTTAAAGGTATGTAAGTATTTAGGTTAGCAGAGAAACACAACAGTGAGTGCCCAAACATCTAATTGGCAGCAGCTTCATTTTTCAGCATGGCAATGATCCCAAACACACTGCCAATGCAGTAAGAACACAGCTGGATAAAAAAAAAAGCACACAATGACATCTGATCAGTTATGGATTGGCCTTCTCAGATTGAAGCAGTGTGTGATCACATTAGATCATCAGAAATAGAGCTTTGAATGTCCATCAAAAAGACTGGAGAACTATTCCTGAAGACTATTTAAAGAAATTACATGAAAGTTTGTTTAGGAGAGTTCTTGCTGTGTTAGACTTTTGACTGTTGTCCAAATATTGACTTTCAAACTCGATTTTTGCTTCATAGACGATATATCCCTGTATGTTTACATGTGCTTCAATAAACTGTTGCAACTATTTATATTTTGCTAGGAAAATGGCAAAGAAATTAGGTTTGATTTAAGACTTTTGCACAGTAAATGACAATTTTATCATTTCACAACAATTCAGTAGTTGAGAGATTTCCAATATAGATAAAAATGTTGATACACATGGCCAGCTAACTACACTGCCTTGCTACCTGTAGATCTGGAGTCTATTTCCTCCTTTCCATCCAATGCAGTGCCACCCCTGGTGCCCTTTATGCACCAGATCTCACTCTGTCCTGCATGGTGCTTTTTGAGATCTACCCACCTTTTAGGCAACAGTCTGAGAAACTATTATTATGTAGGACTGTGGGCAGAAATTGGCATAATTTCCATGGGAAGAAAATGATGGTACAAATATGCCAGTCACTGGTAAATTTCCACCAGCCACTGGTGGCTCCAGCAACTTTTGGACCACAATTATGTGCCTTGCTAACATTTAAAGAGCCATTTTCTGGAGGAAATGCACCGAAGCAGTTCTAAATTCTGCAGTGGCATCGCCTCTGTGGAGAGGGGGTATCAGAGATGCCCTGTGGGCTAGATTCAATCTAGCACATCTAGATTGCTAACTTAATCTAAGGCTAGATTGAGTTAGCAAATTAGCTTACTTTGAGCTCTCTCAATGAAAGAGGGCATTTATAAAAATCACTCTGTGACGTTATTACAGTACTGGCCTACATTAGGCTATAATGTCTGTCAGCAGAGGGCGATGTTTCACACAAGCAGTGCAGTGTGGGGACTGGGACAGCTGCAGATCAGATGTCTCCGCTCTCTAAATTACAGAGTGACGACTTTGTTTTAATGACTCATAAAGACCCGCATTTTTTCTGCAGCCTTGTTTGTGACTTGTACTTGTGTTGCGTTGAACTGAGCGATGCTAATCCAGAGATCACCTCCATATGGGCTCTGTTTTTTGCGCTTTCTTTCATGTGTGCAGATGCCCATGCATCTCTGTCACAGTTTTCAAGCTACTTAAATCCCTGAGTGTTATCTTCTGTGCAGCTCAGTGATCTTAAAATCTCAAGTCATTATGCTTCCTCAGTGTCATTATGTGACCCGGCGTGCAGACAGCTGCTATCAAACTTGGCAGATCAAAGGGTCTCCCTCTCAATACGCACACTATCCTTTACACTGCCCTCTTTATTTCTCTATCTCCCTATCCACTCTCTCCCAAACCTTCAACAAGGGCCATAGCATGGCCTCTAATATTTTCCAGATGTTGAGTACCTCCCTTCCTCCCTTTCTCTACTCTGTTCTTAACGGGTCGATTGAAAAATAAGGGCTGTGCTGCCATCCTCCCCCTTCTTTCCCTTCCTGCGTTACCCCTTCCCCAGCTATTTCAACATATCTCAAGTCAGACATGAGAAGCTGGAGCTCCCCCAGAGCAGAAATGCTTTAGCAGGACGTGCTGATGTTGTTGTTGTAATCAGCTGTTTCGTCAGTGGTGTATTTTTGTAACAGCAGCTGTTTGTGATATGTGTGCTTTTTTTTTTATTGCTTTCATTTGATATTAACCACGTTTTTCTTTGAGCAGAGTGATGCTGACAGTATTTGTCCCTTGTTTCTTTTGCTCCTTCTCTGCCCGTGATGGGAACCAGCTGGAAGAATTGAACTAAGGGTGGGTGGGGGTGGGGTGGGGTTGACCACTAGGATGTAAAAGGTTAGCACCTGGGCCCCAGGCAGGCAAGGGCGGCCGTGTGCTCTTATGGTTATTCTTCGATCGTTTTTACCTTCATCTTTTAACTTACTGAAAGTCTTCAGTTGCAGCAACATGTCAGCACAGTTGCAGACACGTGCTTCCATCTCTCTCTAAGTGCAGTAACACACTCACACACACACACCATGGACTAGATTCCCAGCTCATAACAATCACAGCAGCTGTTGCTCATGTAAACCAACTTCACACACACACACACGCAATCCCACCTCCTCACTCTTTCTTTCCCACCACTTGATTTCCACTCCTGGATTTATATCTGGCTTTATTTTGGCATCTTGAAGGACCTGAAAAAAACATTAACGTACTTCCAACACCCCTTCTAAATGCAGCACTTGTGCTTATCGTCCTGCAAAAGTGCACAAATTGACCGCCGTGCT